GAATACTGCTGACTTGTCTACTTGTCTTCCACATAGATGCCACAATCTGATGGTACTCTGTCAGACAGGGAGGATGAAAGTAGCAGCATGTCTACTGATCCATCAATATTTCTACAACAAACACTGGATAAAATGAAAAATATTGACCAGTTAGATAAAGAAATGGAAGAAAAACTGATGAAAATGATTATCAGGTTTGTCAAGAGCTTAATATTTGATACAATGTATGTGTGATTCATGTAAGTCACATCCTGTTTACTATTTGTTTAGCCTGTGTAGAACAAATAATGGTAATGAATAACATTTTATTAAGTTTTGCTAAAATATTGTATCATCTTTTATTGTTTCAGAGATTTAAATCGAGTTGCAGAGCTTCAGCCATCATTGGCAGCGAATGCTGAATTCTCTTCACTGTATATTCAATGCCAGCTACTGCTCACAAAGGTGAGATGAGAATGTAATATTGTCTAATAATGGCTGCTGTAACAGTAACTTTCTTTCTGTGTTAAAGTAGTAACAGGAATAAAACGAGTTAGAAAATTATGTAAGTTACTGAGCATGCTACTATAATAAGAATTTACACAACATGTGAAATCCTGAATATAGGCGAATACCATATGTCTGCTCAGAGTTATTAAAAGTTACTCTGGAGTTACTGTCAGGTTTTCAGACTTTCATTATTACTGCTTATAAAACCCAAGCATGTTATTTTTTTGTTAACTATGAAAAGAGATATTTATCTAATACACATAGTAACCATAGCAACTCTTCTTATACGCTTGATTTTATAATTATTTTGCAGGCATTAAAAGACAAACAATGGGCAATTCCTATGCCAATGTGTTCACAGGAGAGTGTTATGGCAATGGCTTCTGTCAACCAGGTAAACTTTCACATACCCACAATATGTACAATGTATGAGGTTGACAGTACACATAGCTGTAATACATATTTACTTAATTGTTTTATTAGTCCCCGTTGGACGTCCATACGTCCTTCGTCTTTTATCAGAGATGCCTGGACAGATTTACTTGAAAGCTGATACAAAAATGGAAGACATGTGCACTTTGATTTATTTTTGATTTGGTTGACCTTTGACCGACTGGTGGCCATTTTTGTTCCAAAAAACAACATTTGGACATGTCATTAACTGTTTCTCGAACATGCCTTGACCGATTTCATTGGCATTAGCATTGACATCAGTCATAGTGGGTTACTGATGTACGTCATTTTTTTTGTGGTTCGATTCAAAATGACTATGTTTGACAAAGTCACTAAAAACATGACGGGGACTATGTCATTGACAATGACTTTTTACTGTTATTTTATACTATTATTAAGACTTTGAGGTTGGTTTCGGAATGTAACTTGGGTGTTATTAAAAATAATGTGGTGCTCAGCATTTGCTTGGAATTATGTGGTGCATGAAGTGACAATTTTTATTTTATCTCCATAATTCAATAATTCTTTTCTTTGTTAATAAACGCATAACTATCTGATTGTCTAGTCAATATTGTGGTTTCAGATTGTCACATGCAGTCATGTTAAACCAAATAAAATAGTGTGTTTCTGATAGAAGGGTACATGTATACATGTATTTCATCTTTTATTTTAAAGGAAAGGTAACCTATGGTGTTTCTGACGATATAGCAGCAACCCTGTATTAAAATAATAATTAACAAAATTATAAAAAATCTGCAATTACAGAGTTATTTCATTTCAATATATGAAACCATGCCACATATAATCGTTGCTATCTTGGATTATTACAAGTGACACCATATTGGACCTTAAAGTTGTGTTAAAATATGTTTTTTTAAATTTATAGGCTGGTTTTGCTTGTCATAGATAGCTGGCAAAGTCTCATGAGTCTAACTAATCAGTATGTTTTAGGATGTTTAATACCTAAACTGTTGTTTAAGGAGAAACATTATGTAAAGGAATCTGTCAGTAGAGGATTCTTTGTGCTGAATAAATGCACCTCAGATTATCTGTGAAATGGTGCGTTTCGTTTGGGTTTCTCGTTACATGTGAATTATGGTTGTAGTTTCTCTCCTAAGTGAGATTCTAACTAAAAATTTCTCCGATTAATTAAATCTGTTAAACCGGTAGTACAGTCAAACCGATCATAAACCGA